TTAGAGAAGGATGACCCACAGATCAGGGATTCCTACAGAAAAGCCTCCATTCTGAAGGTAGCAGAGACTCAAGCCATATATGCCCATATTAGTAAGGAATGATTGTACTGTGAACCGTTTGAGAGGGATGTAAAGCACTGTGAAACGATATATAAGTCTAAGTGCTATTGCTATATGGCAACTAGTGCAACTTCCACAAAATGGGAGTTCTGTTCTTCCTGAGCTGAGCAAGTTACTGTTTATTTTTATTTTACTGAATGATCTAGGTTTGTATATGCCATAAACTAACCAATCATAACCTTAATCATAATATAATCATAACCTTAAACCCAAATTAACTATGAAGACTGGGGTTCCACAACACACTAAGCTAAAAAGTAGTTAACTAGTTCATTTGCATGAGCACAGCCTCTGCTTCTAAGAAAAAAAGCAGTGCAAAACCACACAGACAACTGAAAGCTTCTCTAAATAGTCTCTTTATTCTGATTACTTCCAGCTGTGGACTATTCTATTATCAGACAATCTCAAATTTTCTAGCAAGTGATAAGAATTATAGCATTTTATAATGCTAACACATTTAATTATAAGGCATCAGCTTTTGTGAAGAATGATATTAAGATCAAATGTTTCCTAGAAGAAAAAACATGTTGGGACAAAGCTATACTGAACATTCTAGTTAGATTAGTTAATGGTTAATTAAAAGTGCACAAATGAACAAATAGATATCATTTAACAAATAGACACAGACTTCAGAAGATAATTAGAACTGCAGAAAAAACAGTTGCTACCAACCCGCCTTCCATTGAGGACCTGTATACTGCACAAGTCAAAAAGGGGGCTGTGAAAATATTTACAGACCCCTCGTATCCTGGACATAAACTGTTTCAACTCTACCCTCAAAACGATGCTATAGAGCACTGCACATCAGAACAACTAGACACAAGAACAGTTTTTTCCCGAACACCATCACTCTGCTAAACAAATAATTCCCTCAACATTGTCAAACTATTTACTAAGTCTGCACTACTATTAATCTTTTCATCGTTCCTATCACCCATCTCCTTCCACTTATGAGTGTATGACTGTAACTTGTTGCTTGTATCCTTATGATTTATATTGACTGTTTCCTAATATGATTTGATTCAGGGGTGAAATGCTCCCGGTTTGGACCGGATCACCTGATCTGGTAGCGATGGAGGCGGGTGGTTCAGAGAACCGGTAGCAAAAATCCCTGCCCCCCCCCATGCCCAGCTGAGCCGCACAATCATCAGCGGCTTTTTTTTTTACTTTTAGAAGCATTTTTTCTACAATCTCTTCGGCGGAAAAAATGCTTTTAAAAGTAAAAAAAAAAATCTGATGATCGCGCAGCTCAGCTGGGATCGTCAAAGGCTTTTAAAAGAAAAAAACCCCTATTTTTGTTTTAAATGCCTCTGACGATCCCAGCTGAGTTTTTAAAAAAGCCTCTGCGGATCAGGCAATTCAGCTGGGATTGTCAGAGCCTTTTGAAAGCATTTTTTACAACCTCTTCACCGAAGAGGTTGTAGAAAAAATGGTTTTAAAAGTAAAAAAAAAAAAATGGCCACGCCCACCCAGTCACATCACCCCCCATCAAGCCACGCCTACAAAACCGGTAGTAACAAATTTTAGATTTCACCACTGATTTTATTGCTTATTTATACCCTATGACTATCATTAAGTGTTGTACCTTATGATTCTTGATGAACGTATCTTTTCTTTTATGTACATTGAGAGGATATGCACCAAGACAAATTCTTTGTGTGTCCAACCACACTTGGCCAATAAAGAATTCTATTCTATTCTATTCTATTCTATTCTATTCTATTCTATTCTATTCTATTCTATTCTATTCTATTCTATTCTATTCTATTCTATTCTATTCTATTCTAGACAAAATACACAGTTTCCTCAATTTAATTTCCCAGACAGTAAAGCCAACATTTATCTCATGTTATGCTATTAGACAAATCTAATCCACCCAAGGATTAGGCTGATGAATTAATTTATCAGATGCATCTGTTTTTGATTTTGTTTCTTTCGGGTCTTATTTTGATTGATTCTCTGTGTGTGATACCCAGAATTGGAAAAATAGCATAACAGTGTATTACATAATACATTTTGTTTGGGGTAAAGAGACAAAGGCTATAGCTGAGTCACATATGCTTCCCTTAAAGGTCCCAGGCACCATCTCTGGCATCTTCAGACACTGCCTGAAATTCTAGAGAAGCAATTGGTGTACATACTAATGAATGAGATACTAGTAAAATCAGCAATCATCTAGATGTGAACATTAATATATAATTTCTTCATTCAAAACAGCATGATATCACAATTGACATTTTCTGAGGTAAGAGTTGGAGTAAAGCTCATAAATCTCACTCACTGAGATATTCACGTGATAATAAAACACACATTTCAGTGAGGGAGGCAGTTTTCATTGGTGACTCAGTGAAAGGTGTAATTGTTTGAGCAACCTGAACTGGAAATTATGGATTACTCAGTTTACCCTATTTTTTTTAATTCACATGGCATCCTGAATTATAAACCAACCAATCATCAAGGTTGGGATTGCATTCATGTTAGCCTAAAGTAAGTTTGCTTAAGGGTCAGCCTATGATGTGAATCCAACATCAAACATTACAAGTTTAAAAAAAAAACTAGATAAGAAGGAACCACTACATAAATGGGATGCAAGTGAAGTGGTCTCTTCTTTTTAATATACTAACCACCTCCAAAATGGGATGCCCCACCCAGGCCAATTTGCAGGGCCAGGTTTTCAGGCCCTTTTGGAAGGCCAAGAGGATGAGGGCAGATCTCTCAAGCAGCATGATATTCCAGGGGCCAGGAACCACAGCAGAAAAAGCTCTTCTCCTGGATCCTGCTGTCCGAAATTCCTTGGCTGACGGGATCTCCAGCATGCCCCCTTTTCCACAGTGAGTGGGGCAAGCTAATCTCATTGTGGGTGAGATGGTTCCTAGCTTGAACCTATGCCATAAAGGCTTTTAAAGCTAATAACCAGAACCTTGAATTGGACTGAGAAACAAACTTGCAACCAGTGCAGCTTGCACAACAGTGGTGTTACATGGGCCACCCTAAGAGCCTCTAGAAATGTCTGCATTGCTGCATTCTGTCCCAGCTGCAGCGTCTGAATATTTTTAAAGGGCAGCCCAAGGTAGCCCAATATTGCCACATTAGATGGCAATCCCAAGCAGGCTGACTTTCCCACTGAACTAAATGGTACATATTTTCAAGTAAACATGTTCAGCTCAGATAGATTTTAAATATACTGTAAAGGCTGGTTTCCAATGCATTGCTCCATATAATTATTTCATGGTACATCTAAAAGTTCTAATGGGGGAGTACCACACTGGAGGTAGCCACGTGACTGGTAGCAAACCTCACCTCCTTCCTGTGCTCCTGCCCATTTTGAGTCTCATATTATTGTACCTTCATTATTTATTCCATTGTTTATCATTTCATTACTTTGATACCGTTATATTTACTCTTCTTTTCATTACTTCATGTAAGCTGTCTAGCAAGATGGGCAGTAAATAAATTTAACCAATAAATAAATATTGCCATTCTATAATCATGGGTTCATGCTTTATTTCTTTTTCATATTTCCTTGAAGGCAGTGTCATATCTTCAGAATTTTTATCTGTATCTCTTTGTGCTTTTTCCCCTGCCCCTGCCTTTGTTTTCAGCGGGGATGGCCTTTACACCGGCACAGCCCTCTTGGTTCACCTTCAGAATACCCAAGCCCCAAAGAGAACTATAGGCATTTTACTTTTGCACCAGAATTCCAGAATTTAACATTACCAAAATCCTATTTTAGAACTGATGCTACATCTCATATTTGCCTAGCTTATAGTTTACTGAGTTGGGGTGTATATGCGTGCATAGGAGGGAGTTCAGCAACTATGTATTCTGCATTAAAAAAGAAAGTTCAGGGTTCTGAAGAAGGGAAACAGAGGTATGAAAGATTTAGGGAATAGTTTCTGAACTATTCCTTTTTTAAAAGACCGCTCCTTTATGCAATTTTAGCTAAACTCATGAATCCTAGTAAGTTTAAGGACAAACAACAGCATCCTTTACTGTTATAAACGGTAGGTTACTGATATTACAATAATGGGATTATTTCAGTGTTACGAAATTCAGGAATAGAATGTGATAGGAGGATTGAACAATGAATGCCAGTGACTTACTTCAAAATACATTGTGACTCACAATGTCATGTCCCAATTCAGAATACGTTCCCCTCAATTTACAGGAACTAAACAAACCTTGCATTTCTTCCCCCCCACCCACAATTTCTATGATATTTGGGGAGAGCCTAAGATTTAGAGGGGAGAAAGACTGAGATATGGGGGGGGGGGTGCCAAGTGATATAGATGTCAAATGACATCCCAACTATGATGACTGATCTGCCGGCTTGGGCATATCGGTAGTATTCTGGATGTCCTTGTAAGAAAATACCTAGTAGAAACGAGAGGTTAGTGCAGCAACTCCATAACTGTTAGGAAACGGGGGAAACAACGGCATTCTGTTCAAAAAGGCTCCTTCCTCTCTTGGCACAGTCGGACTAGCTGGGCCTCTCTTCCCGTCTTGCGGCTGGCACATTTTATTTTTTTTTAATGAGACGAACGAAGGTAATTCCAGGCAGGCGCCCGAGACGCGGTGACGGGAAGCTTCCGGTGTTTAAAAACAGTCTCTCCCCCAAACTTTTCCTGTGCTTTAAAATGATAAGCTGTCCCTCCAAGCATTTCTCCACCGCCTGGTCCAACAGGCCTTTTTTTTTTTTTTTTCCTTTTTAAATCGTTCCAAGGTGAACTTGGGATGAGAGCTGAAAGAAACGGAGGGGGGCAAGGAACAGGAGGGGGGGAGGGAGAGGGGAGGGTGGGGGGACGCGAAACCAGCGCCGCCGGGCTGGCTGCTGAGCAGGCAGCCTCCTTTCGTGGCTGCCCCCATTGGCTGGAGGACGGAGCCGCCACCGCCAACGTCAAGGCGGCGCCCAGCTCCTTGCAAAGCTACTGCAGTGAGCGGAGATGCTGCCGCCGCCGCTGCTCCTGGGGTTGCCTCTTGCACTTGTAGCAGCGACGCCCGCCGCTCGACCTGAGGTAGTTACTGCGCGGGTGAGCCCGCGCGCGCCTTTTCTCCCCCCGGCTCGCCGGCTGCAGTGCTCCGCGAAGGACTAGCGCGGCTCCCCCTCAGCCCGGCGCTCCTGGCAAAAGTGGTGGACGAGGGGAGAGGAGGAGGAGATTTTTTTTTTTTTGGCCGAAATGGCTGCTTCCCTCCTCGGCTGGGGAGCAGTAGGCACCGCCACCCCCCTGGGGACAGCAGCAGGAGGCAAGTCAATGCGGCAGCCTCCTCAGTGAGGGAGCAGCAGCAGCGCCGCGGCGGGAGGAGCGACCGACCGACCGACCCCGCGCGTCCCGTCGCCGACTCCAGCTCGGCGGGCGAAGGTGCGAGCTGGGAAGCTGACGCACTCTCCCCTCTCTTCCCCCCCCCCAACCTCCCCTCCGCAACCCCGGATGCCCGCTGCCGCCGCGCCTGAAGCATGGGAGCGCTCACCAGCCGGCAGAACGCCGGAGTGGAAGAGGTGGATATCCCGTCCAATTCCCTCTACAGATATCCCCCCAAATCCGGTAAGGCTGGGGGGTTGGGGGTGGGATAAGCGAGAGGTTTGCGGGGAGTCCCGCATGGCAGGGTTGCGCGCGCTCCGACTCCGGGCGAGGGAATGGCGAGCGGCGGCTGCAACCCCGGAGCTCGGCTAAGGGCTATAAGGCGAGCGGCGGGACCCTTGCTGTCAACCCCCCTCACCCACCCTTGCGCCTTTTCGCCACCGTCCCGCCAGTGGGGCTGCTCCCGTGACGGATTTTTTTTTTTTTTTCCTGTGGAGGAGTTTCCCGAGAGTTTTGAGGGTCAGGAGAACGACCCTCCTTGCAGTGTCGCCTATTGCAAGCTCTGGCTTTTTGGGAGGTTGATTATTTATTTATTTTACTTCCCGCCTCCTCTTTTTCTTCCCGTGTAAGGATTGCTGCGGCGGCGGCTTGGATGGAAATAGTGACATTCGTGGCATCGCGCTTGGGGCTAAAAGCTGCTTTTCGTCCGGGCAACAACTGCTCTTTGCTTGAAAAGAACAGGACTCTCGCGCGGTCCTGAATTGAGATCCGCCTCCCCCCCCTCAATTAAGAAGCCCCTGGCAAATTCTTGTCTGTCCTGTGCCACTTGGCATGCCTGCCTGTTTAGTTGTATACTCTTGTTAGTGCGCTGATTGCATTCTAAAATACCCCATCAATCTTCCGATGTAACATTTTAACCATCCCCGCTGCTAATGAGATGAACTCTGGTATTGATGGGAGGGGGAATTTAATTTCTAAAACAACAAATGCCGTGTATTGGATGCAGGCAAGACCATCAATATCCTTCTCCCTTTAATCCATCACATATATATATATATCTTAAGTTTCTCTCTCTCTCTCTCTCTCTCTCTCTCTCTCTCTCTCTCTCTCTCTCTCTCTATATATATATATATATATGTATGTATGCATGTATATATGTATGTATATGTATATATGTATATATATGTATAATGTATAATTATGTATAATTTCATAGGCATATTGTTTTCCAAAGGTGGAGCTTGTCTCCTTTTACTATTAATAGTAGTAATAGTACTAATAGCAGTTTAAGGAAGCAAACCTTAATAAAGGCAATTGAAAACGTAATAAAGATCTTGCATACCTATTGTGCAATATCTAACAGTATACTTTTGTGCTTGCATCAATTAGCTGGGTTAATTAAGGCAGACGGATCTTTTCTGACCATTTACTGGTTAAGCTTGGAAAAGCACTTTTTGTTAAATTATCAGGCTCCTGAAAAAAATACTGGGGAGCAGATGCAAAGTGATGTTGAGATATGGATGAGGAGCTGATATTATGTGGTTATCCTGCAGTGATGTATGGCATCCCTGTTTTCTTTAGCCTCTGGTCATCCTGGAAATGCATAACAGAAGCGCCTGTAGAAGCAAAAGGGGGAAGTGTCCACAGTATGCTAGCCTTGTAACATTCACATGGCTGACAGGAATAGCTCTGTATGTCACAATACAGAATATGAATTCTGTACTCTGTATTCCAAATTCATGAATTTTGTTAATAGGACCAATCTTCTGCTCACTTAGTTAAAACAATTCCCATTGAGTTAATTGAGTTTTATTTTTCTTTATTAGAATATTATACATTTCTGCTTTGCTTGATTAGTTGGGGATAATTTCAGTTTCAATAAAATATGAAAGTTTTCAACAAACTTGCTGTGAAACTACAGCTACTGGTACTTTAGTGTTGATAAACAGTTTATAAAGAGATTTTCAGGAGCAATATATTTTTCTATCTTTAGAACAGTACCTAAAATCCTATTTCTGTTCATTATATTTAATTACATGTTTTGAAGACTATTTCCCATCAGGATAGCATAATTCAAAACAAAAGGGAACTGGCAGAACATTCAAACCTTTTGGGACTAATCCCAAGAGGTCATCTTTTAGAGTTGGGGTAGTTTCTCCTCTTGAAAATGCTTGTTTAATTGCTTTTTGCTCTTGAATGTTATTTATTTATTTATTAAATTTATATGCCACTCATCTTACTATCCAAAGTGATACTGAGCAGCTTACAATACAATAAAAACAGCAATATAAAATCATTAAAACTTAACAGGAACTTAAATGAAATTAGGAACCAAGTATATGAGCGACAAGAGGTGGGAATTTCACTCTTACAATGCTATATGTATATGGTATACTGTGTATGTATGTATACACACACACACACACACACACACACACACACACACACACACAAGATTGTAAATCCATTTAAATTCAATATGTAATTGTATTGATCTAATTTCTTTATGTTAACATGAAATCGGGTTTTGGGGAGTCAGAAAAGCCAAGATGCTGGCTCCAGCCTCTAATTGAAAACAACTATCTTTTTTGATCTCATATTGCAGATGTCCCCATCTTGACGGCTGTGATGTATGTTACAAGGGCTGAGCAGACTAATGTTTACTGGGATATATGGTTACAATTTTCTTGCTTACTACAGTACAGGTAGACAGGTACAACAGTACATTTAGTGACCATTCAATGTTACAATGGCACTTAAAAATGACTTATGACCATTTTTCACAGTTAGGACCTTTGCAGCATCCCCATGATCATGTGATCAAAATTTGGAGGCTTGGCAACTAGTTCATATTTACGACCGTTGCTGTGTCCCAAGGACATGTGATCATCTTTTGTGACCTTCTGACAAGGAAAGTCAATGTGGAAGCAAGATTTACTTAACAACCAGGTTACTAACTTATAACTGCAGTGATTCACTTAACAACTGAGGCAAGAAAGGTTGTAAAATGGGGCAAAACTCACTTAACAAATGTCTCACTTAACAGAAATCTTGGGCTCAATTGTGGTCATAAGTCGAGAACTATCTGTATTAACTTTAGCCTAAACTATAGACTGTCTCAATTTCAATGAATTTGAAAAATGCCAAACAGGAGGATACTGCTCTTATTACTAAAACATTCTGAAGCCCTTTTGGTTAATGTTCATCAGAAGTATGTTTCTGTCACAGAATAACTTTGAAGTCCCATGTACATGAAAGTAAAACCTGTATTTCCAAACTATTTATATATGTATTTATTTATAATTTTATTTATTTTATAATTTCAAATTGTATAGTCACCTACTCGTCCATAGCTTTGGGTGACTAATGGGTTAAAAGCAAAATGACATTTAAACAAGACCCCCATGGCCATGGCAGAGTGTAAAGCAACAACACTTGAACATACTCACTCTTATTGGTGGCTACCCTTAACACAGGAATGTCCAACTTTGGCAGCCCATGCTGGCTGGGGAATTCTGGGAGTTGAGGTTCAGAGATCATAAAGTTGCCAAGGTTGGACACCACTGTATTGATACGTTCAGCTGGTGCCGTGGAAATAGCCAGATCTTGCAGGCAGCCAAGAATGGGCTGTGTGAATTTGAAGGGAGCATGTTGTTTCAGAGAGAAGCAGAACAGTAGAGAACCTAGGCCCCATAAGATGTTGCTGCTTAATAGATGGGACCTGAGGTATATCAACTTAGTCTGATCTTACTGGATGGGCAAATACAATGGGAGATAGCAGTCCTGAAAATATCTAGGCCTTGTATCATTTATAGACAATAACTAGGATCTAGAATTGCACTGATAACTAATATAACTCATGTAGTAGCACAAGGACAGACTTGGCATGTTTTAACTATGCATACTGTTGCATTCTGGACCAGTTGTACCTTTTGAATGGTCCTCAAGGGCAGCTCCATGTAGACTGTGCATTGTGGTACTGTAGTTGATATAAAATATGACTGATTGTGAATAGGGCCTCTCAAAATAGGAAATCTGATGGGGTGAATCTCTGAAAAGACCTTTTGGCCACAGTTACCCTCAAGCAGAAGCTGTGAGTGCAAAAATACACCCCCCCCATTGCACACTGGAACTGTCTAGGGCAATGATGGCTAACCTTTTTGCCATTGCGTGCCAAGAGTGGAGAGAGCGCAGGGGGTGGGTGGGTTTCGCGTGTGCGCATGCCCACACCTATAATTCTATGCAGCCTGCTCCTGGCATGCAATGGCCCGGTGGGACTGTTTTTCTCTCTCCCCAGGCTCCAGAGCCTTTCCAGGAGTCTAGGGAGGGTGAAAATGGCCTTCCCCACCCCTCTGGAGTCCCGTTTGCCAATTTCTGGTGGGACTGGAAGGCCTGTTTTTTTGCTCTCCCCAGGCTCCAGAGCCTTTCTAGGAACATGTGGATAATGAAAACGGCTTTCCCCACCCCACCCGGAGGCCAAAAACGGCCCGTTTGCCAACTTCCAGTGGGGAAGGCCATTTTTTTTTTAATTTGATTTATATGCCGCCCTTCTCCGGAGACTCAGGGCGGCTTACAATGCGTTAAGCAATAGCCTTCATACTTTTGTATATTTATACAAAGTCAGCTTATTGCCCCCACAAACTGGGTCCTCATTTCACCTACCTTAGAAAGGATGGAAGGCTGAGTCAACCTTGAGCCTTGGAGAGATTCGAACCAGCAGTAAATTGCAGGCAGCTGTGTTAATAACAGGGTGCTTTAAACCACTGTAGTACCAAGGCTCTTATTTTCACTCTCCCCAGACTCCTAGAAAGGCTCTGGAGCCTGGGGAGAGAGAAAAACAGGCCTTCCCCCCACCCCACCCCCGAGGCCCTCCGGAGGCAGGAAACAGCCTGTTTCCCTACTTCTGGTGGGCCCAGAAGGCCCAAAAATCAGTTGGCTGGTGTGCGCATGTGCGCCCGAGCTGAGCTTGCGTGCCCACCAATATGGCTACGCATGCAACCTGTGGCACGGGTGCCATAGGTTTGCCATCATGGGTCTAGGGAAATGCAACCTCATTCAAAGCTTATAAGCAGGTCTCTAGAACAGGTTGGTGCATGTACCTATAGCCACTTTGTCTTCCCATAATATATATGCTGGTCACTGAAGATGGGGTGAAGCTCTTGTTAAGCAGGTTTGAAACTAAAAGGAAAAGGAAAAAAAAGCCTGTAATGATGCCTCTGTTCCCCCAAATTATTTACTAATTG